CATATACATATGTATACATACATATATATAGGCCTACACATACATAAAATCATGCGCATGCATCTGAATCTCAATGAATGTGGTTAAAATCTCAAAAAAACAACAATATTAAGCAGACTTTGAAAAAGACAAACAGAAAGTGCTTGTTCATGCTCGCTCCACCTAACTGGCACAAATTGACGGCTTTGGTATGCGACAAGAAATAACTTTTAAAAATAATAAGCCCAAATTTATCACTACAGTGAATTTTTCTAAAAACTAAAATGGTAATTTATCAGTTGGAAATGTTTGTGTAACAATAACGAGGACCTACTTTGTTTCATTGCTTCAAAAGCTTAACTTTTGATATCGAGCTAGACCTAAACGCTGGTCCAATTTTTATTTGATTCCTTCCAAATGACTCTAACAATAAAGGTAAGCATTGTTAGTGTATCAATCGACTTTTGGTGACACCTGCATGAGTGTCTCTCTTCAATCTTCGGTACGGCATATGGAAAATATCAGACAGTTTTTGAATGAAGAGGGAACCTCTAAACCTATCCATGTCCGTACACTATAGGTTCGATTATGATAATGGTATCATTTATTGGTTTCCACACTTTCACAAAAAAATCCAGCTCAACTTACTTTTGCTGCCCGTGTCGTTACACAAACACCAAGGACATAATATGCCGGTATCTCCTGTTCTTCGTTCTCTATACTGGCTGTCTGTCACTAAAAGCATTTATATAATTTTTCATTTCATTACATTCGTTTCTATATCACATACAAAGCTCTCCATATTCTGCCCCCTCCCCCCACCGCTTTTCATTCAATTTGGGAGTACGCTCCTAATATTGCTCTCGCTCATCTAGATCATGATTAAATAGGCTCCATCCTTTAAAGTTTGCATATTGCAGCTCCGAAACTCTCTCTTTAATTAACAGACCTATTGAATTAAATTTTCGTCAGTTTTCTTTTTTAAACTTCGGCTTATCTTATCCATTTTTCTTGTGTCAAACTTGGTTTTTGATTTTTTTTCTTTATGTGTAGAAACTGTTTAACAAACACACCGACATCGTTTTACAATACCTTGTTTTTATTTATTTAGGAAATTTCGTCTTGATCCTCAAGACTTCATCAGTGTTTAGACAACTGATTTATCTGTATGACTGGCAAGCGTAATACCGAAGTTGAATTTCCTATTGTAAAATAAAAGTGGGTGAAGGTAGGCGAAGGTTAATATTTGTCGATGTCTAACCTCTTTAACGGCAGTAACTAGTTGTGTAATAACTTTACATTGTTAAATTAATTGAGTCTGAGTCTGGGTAATCTTTATTTTCACACAAAACCTAAATGTCAATATACTGTATAAAAGAACATGCAATGTTTACAGGTGTGAAAAAAGGACCACCACAAACAAGCAAACGCTTTTAAACTATGGCGCCCTTAACTTAAAATTAATAATCTTGCAAATTACAGAATATTTATAATATAGTAAATAATTTAAAAATTCTACTACAAAACAATTTAACCACATTCCCGGCAAAATTTCAATTTTTAAGAAAAATCTAATTCTTGTATAATGTTATAAAGATTTATAAATATA